TATGAATTCTTTTCATGACCCTGAAGCAGTAGATAGTGGTACTGGTAGTATGTCATATAATACAGAACATATGATAGCTAGTACTATAGTGCTATACCAGTAGTATTTGTCATCTATGGAATGGCCCTTTCAACTCTCCCTATCACTATCTATCTAATACAAAAACAAGCAGGCTGATTAGATAAAAACTGAGCTATAGAGGCCACCAGGGAGCAACCCCTCCTGGTGCCCCTACCTGCCATCTAACCTGCCTACCCAATTGGGACAGGTGGCGATCAAAAAAGCGCCCTAGAGATAAGAGATTACAGTACATGCCTGATCTGGCCAGGGAGATAAGCCTGCAGTGATCAAAAAAGCGCCATAGAGATAAGAGATTAAGGTACCTGCCTGATTAGGCCAATGAGATAAGAAAATGCCTGTTATCTACAGTTGATAACAGCCCTGCAGCCATATCTGCGCTTTCCTGCCTTATTAGGGAGGTAGATTCAAACTCAGACCCCAAATAAGCGAAGAACAGGGCCTGTTAGAGTAGTACCCTAACAACCTAACTATGATGCAACGCATGTTCGGAACATATCCGGAGTTTGATGCATCAGAGTTACAACAGCAGCTGGAAGTCCTCCCACTCGGGCTGGGCTACTTCGTCCTCGGACTCATACTGCGAGCCCACAAACTCATAGTCGGACTGTGGCAGGTCCTGGACTACTTCTGTCCCTTCTTGGACCTCTTGGTCCGGTCCGGGCACCTCTACCAACGCTTCGTGGTCGCTAGTGACCTGAGCATTGTCGTTGGGCGTAGTTGCGTGCTCGCCATCCGACATATCATCCAAGACGCGTTGCGCGAACATGCGCTGGCCCTGTCCCGGCTTCTTGCCGTGATTTGGGCAGGTGGGATCCGAGGCAAAGTGGCCTACTTGGCCACAGGAGAAACATTGAGAGGCCGCTTTATTGGCGGCCGGCTTCGCGGCAGGCCTAAGCGGTTGGCCAGTGGTGGGACGCGGTCGATCCGGCCGAGGAGCACCTGTACGAACAGGGGCGGCTCGTCGAACGTTGGACGACGTTGTCCGAGGCGCGGGGTCCGTGTGGACGGACTTCCTCTGTCCGCTGGGGGCCGCTTTCGCAACACGGTGATCGGTAGGGGCCACGACAGGGTTAACGCTAGTTGCGTTGTCGCGTGGGCGACGGCGTTGATGAAGTTCACGCGAACTTTGCTCGAGCTCGAGCACCGCCTGGTATAGCGCGGCCAAACTATTATATTTAACGGAGAGGCCGTTAACTACAGTGAGTGTATGAACATAACTCATCGGCAGCATGTTGAGGAACTTGTTCCGTAATTGGAACTGAGTGGGTTTCTCCCACATTTTCTCCGTTATGGAGAGCAGTCGTTCATACAGAGCTGCAACGCCGCCCTTGTTCGCTTCGAAGCAAAGGTTGTTGTAATTGTACGCCGCTTGCAGGTGCGTGTCACAGTGTATGAATCGCCGGAAGAGGCCAATTACAGCCTCTTCAAACAGCCAGTCTCGCCGTTCCCGGGAGGGGGATTGTACTGTGTTGTACATCCATACTGCGGCTTCATCGGACAAACAGTCCCCTAGTATCCGCAGTCGGTCTGGGTCCATGGATGGACCGGTTATCCGTAGGGTACGGAAGAACTCGAGGAGGTTGTGGAGCCACATCTCGAAAGCGTCGAGATCGTCCTTGCCCAAATACGGCTTCGGGAGGGTCATCTTAGTGACCTTCAGGTATGCCGGCGGACTGGAGGTCGGTTCCTCCCCGACCATTTGGTCGATCATGCCCATCGTGTATGCGAGCTCATTTGATCCATCGAGCTCGTGCTCGGGGACAGTACTAAGTCTGGGATGCGCGGAAGCTCCTGGAGCTAAGGACCTCCTGGGTTGGAGCACAAACTGGTGCGGAGGCGCCGTCGAAGTGACCGGGATTCGGTCACCCCGAGGAGCTTGCGACGCGGACTCGTAATGGTCCCAGCCTGGCGGCGCAGTGATATTCGAGGGCTCAAAGGCCCCGAAAGCCACGCTTCGTCGTGGGGGTGCGGCTCGAATGGGTGCCGGAGCCGCTAACGGCGAAGAGGGTAGTAGTCGAGACGGACCTGCTACTGGTCCAGTGTCTCCCAATCCCGCTCTCCGGAGCCGTTCGAGGCGATCAGCCTCCATTTGCTGGCGAAGCACCTCACTCGGTGACGGACTAGGAGGTGCAGCCAGTTGCGCCTCCACTTGGGTGGCGTCAATAATGTCCTCGACGTTATTCTCGGGACCTATGGTGGGGTCCGTGCCCTGCTGGGCCAACTCTCGCATTTCTCGCTCGAACGCGGTGAGCTGGTCATTGACCTCGGTCTCAGCAAGTGTTACTTGTTCTCTTAACACTTTGTAGCGTTCCGCGGAATCGCGTAAGAATCCCATGATTCTTAGAGCCGGTGCTGGCTGGATTAAGGCTGAACACGGATGAGGATCCTAGTGCGGGTAGACCCATGGAATTGGGACCCGCACCTGTGGGTCACGGCTCATGCGGATGCGGTTGCCCGGGCCCCGGATCAGGCACAGATCCAGATCAGTCATTCACATCCAGGCCAGTCAGCCGTAGGTCACCCGGATCCGTAGGCATGGCAAAGGTACTCTGGCGACGTATGATATTTGAGAAACAAGACGGTCTGGACAATCAAAACATGGGAAGACTTGTATCATAAAGAAGTGCGTGTGCGACTAGAAATCCCCGATCTCTGACTCCGAGCTAGTGGGCGAGATGAGGGGTGGCATGTCGTCATCACCATCAGCGTCGCTTGCAACAACAAGGCCTCGAGGCAGGTCCGTGCCGCACACCAATTGGCCATCGGACACGAGCGTGGCACCGTTGCTGCCAATCGCAGGAGGAGCGGGAGAAGGGGCGCCGGTAGGCTCGGTGTTGATGGGAGGCGGGGCAACACGTGCGGCATGCCGCAAGGCCCAATCATCCCTCGAGCGGAGCTCCTCTGACGTGAGCGCGAAGAGGTCGGTGGGATCCTGGAAGAGTCTCTGCAAGGTGGTGGTAAGGCTGTGTTAGTGAACAGGTACAAGCTGTGTATGGTACAAAGACGTACCGCAGGTAAGAGGAACTGCATATAGAGCACTACCGCAGCAAGTGCTTCATCAGCAGGGTCACCATGAGATTGAGAGAGCGCGCCCTCGAGGAGCTGATTGACGAGGTCGCCGAAGGTGTCGTCATCGACCCCGGGAGATCAAGCGGCGGTAGCGCGGTAGACGAGGAACAAGTCGATGAGGAGGTTGGCTTGCTCCTCGCTGACAAAGTCGTTGGGAAGCAGCGTGTTGCGGACGACGTGCAGCCATCTGTCGCAGAGAATCACGACAATGTGTCCGAAGTTGAAGGTAGGGAGATTGAACTGTGTGCAAAGATGTCAGAACAACGCCCAATGGCGCAGACACGATGGTGAATCATACTCACCGTGAAGATTTGATCACTGTTGTAGGCGAAAATGGTCAACGACAGGCCGTACTCGGGCCTCTGCAACCCGGGGCTAGTCCAGGCATCTGCCTCAAGGACCATGCGAGCTTCGGTGAAGGCCATCTTGGTGTGGTACGAGGTCGAACAGCGGTGTATGGGAGAGGGAGGGGAGCGATGATACTTGCCTGTAGAACATTGCCAACCCTTATAGTGCACGGTTGAGCCTCTCCTGGTGCACAATACTATTCCTTGGATCGTATGGGTCATTCGGCCACTGAAGACGGTGCTCGGGGGGCGCTGTGTGTTGGCCAGTGAAGGCCGTGCGCCGTGTCGGTCGTCGGGCACACACATTCCAGCAACTCCCGACTTGACCCACTGCATGCTGCGCTCGGCTCCCGGTATCCGCCCCAAAACAATATCTAAACTTTGAACCGTAGGTCGTTAGGATCGACGCTTGCTGAAACCCACGGGGAGAACGAACGTACCTCGCAGGATCGGGCATTTTATGCGAGATTACCATCGTTGTCAGTGCGAGACGATTTCAATCTGGGCTCCAGGTACGACCAGATCCATCACCGAAACCAAGGAACACGAGCTTGAGGCTGAAAGACCTGCCACAGTAGAGAGACAAGGAGAGGAGCAGTGTCCTGAGCTGTGGTTGAAGCTCGGGAGACAGTGGCAGCTGGCCAGCGCGGGCATACTGGCCAAATGGGGTTTGTGGGCGCATGAAGGACCTGTTTTGGACATCGAACCTACCGGCTGGGTATAAACTCGTACAAGACGGCCACGTCCCCCTCCACCACCCGATTTCCTGATCGACTGGTCCATCTATTCAACCGTCGCTGCGAGACCTCTTCACATCGTCCCCATTGCTAGCTAGATCTCTCCCAAATCGACGGATCTGGCTCAGTATGTTTCAACACCAACGTCGGCAAGGTCGGGCTCCCGGCCCAGCCAACTCACATCGCGACAAGGTCAGCACAGGGCCTCGCATTTTGTGAACGGCCGCCGAATCCGCTTAACGGTGAAACAGGACACACTGGTCAGCGCTGCTGCTTGGCAAGAACGACGTGCCTACAGCCGTATCTGTTGTACAGCAAGGACGGGTCCCGGGAGCTCCTGAATGACCCGCACCTGCGCTCACCAATCGGGGCTGCACGGCGAGATATTGCCACTCTCGTGGGACGTGCAAGTTGCAGCGAAGTCCACTCTCTCTTGGGGGCCACTGTACGCGCTGAACGGCCCGAAGGGAGTCTGTCCAGCGTATAAAGGCGGCCCTGCGAGTCTACGAATTGTAAGCACCACCCACACGCATATCCTCACCTCCCTCTCTATTCATTGCGCTCTATGCCGCCCGCAAACAAGAGCTCTGGCAAGCACCGCCGCAGCAGCGACTCATCCGATGCCTTGTCGTCCACGAAGACCTCCGATACTGGCAGAAATGCCGCCGCGTCCTCCCAGGAGCCTTCCCACCCTGCTAACAAATGCCACAAGGCCGCCGCTGCCTCGTCCGCCGCTGCCTCATCCACCGCTGCCTCGTCCGCCGCTGCCTCGTCTGCTGCCCCCTCGTCCGCCGCCGCCGGGACGTCTGCGGCTGGCGTGTCTCGTGGGGACAGTGCTCAGCCTCCTGGTGACGACCCGACGGCCAACAACGCCGATGAACCTGTGGCGGCTGTCGCTGCGCGCGTCACTCTCGCCAGCAAGGGCCCCCTCCCTCGCATTGGGGAGAAGCGCGCTGCCTTCCTGGAGAAGTACAACGGCAAGACGCCAGAGCAAATCTTAGGTCAGTGCTGTCAGCTCACGTATACTTGTTGGCGCTGACTTTTCAATAGATGCACTCTCGAAGAAGTGGCGCTCGGACGTCTACAAACATTTCATGAAGCCCAAGATAATCCAGACTCCTCAAGGCGGCGTTGTCCATCGTTTCGTCTGCCAGAAGTACGTCTGTGATTCCTCCAGGACTGTGTATGTGTACTTACTAGCTACTTACCTTCGCAGGTACCCATCCAAACACGTCGACCGCGCCGACTACGAGGAATCGACCAGTAACCTCACCCGTCACCGTGGCCTCTGTGACCCGGACGACACCCCGGAAGTCGAAATGATCACCGCGTATGCGCGCGGCACGGCGTACAGTCCTGCGCGTGTGCGATATCTCATTGTGATGTGGTGTGCGCGCCACCATCGCCCATTCACAATTGTAGACGACCCGGAGTTCCAGGAGCTCATGTGTATGCTATACGCGAAGGTCGAACTGCCCTCGCGCGTCACCGTATCCCGCGACGTCCAAATGATCATGTTGGATGGAAAGATCTGCGTCATTGCATTCCTCTCCGTGAGTACACGCTTCTCTCCCCTAATTCTGTGCTTACCATCATGTCCTTTGCAGAGCTTGCCCTGCAAGATTCACATATGCGTCGATGGCTGGACATCGCCGAACATCATGTCCTTCTTGGGCGTCACCGCGCATTGGCACCACGACGGCAAGATTGAGCATATCATACTCGATTTCATTAGGTACGCCGTCTCATCTCCCATCCCATACTATGCACATGAGACTAATCGAGTACGATAGGCTGACGAACGGCCACACTGGAAAGTACTTGGCAGAAAAGCTTGTGGAATGCCTTACCGGCTACGGCATTGAGAAGAAGGTAAGCCGCTCACTAATATACGCGTCGTTACTACCATTTCTTGATACCTTGCACCTCACTAGGTCCTAGCAGTCACCGTCGACAACGCCGACAACAACACAACGATGCTGAAAGAAATGCATACGCTGGTCAAGGAACTTCGGGGACCCATGGCTCGAGTCCGTTGTTTTGGACACGTCCTCAACCTGGTCGTCAAGGTGATGTGCTTCGCTATTTTCCACAAGATTGTATTGCTGACATGCCCATTCATACTAGGCCATCATGTCGATGTTCTTGCGCAAGCCCAAGGCGAAGGCCGATGCCGGCGTTCAAGCTGGCAATGACGACGAAGATGCTGACCTCGCCGCTTTGGACGACCCGGAGGACGTCGATGAGGACGACGTCGAAGCTGCACAGGAGGTCGATCAAGCGCGTGAGGATGCGGACGACGCGTTGCTCGACGACATGGCCAACAACAATGTCGACGTCGCCTTAACTGCTCAGGATATCAAGGAGGGCCGGCTCGCCGTCGAGAAGGTACACCGCTTCTATCATGCGAAGTCTTCATTGTATTGATTGTTCTGATAGGTTACAAAACTCTCAAAGAAGGTCTGGAACAGTCCTCCGGTGCGCGCCGCGCTCGCGACCCTCACCCACGACGCGCCGGACATCCATAGCGAAGTCCTCGTGCGCTCGGTTGCGACGCGCTGGAACACAGTTGCAGCTGTCATCGAGAGGGCACTGGAGCTGCAAGAAGTGCTCGGTGATCTTTGCGACATGGCTCAGTTCAACAAGCCCCGCGGAGTACGTCTGCGCCGCTTCATTCTCACTGACGACGACTGGATGCTGCTCGATCAGCTCCACCGGCTTCTCGACGTGAGTGTGCATTCTATTCCGACGTGCGAAGTCACGCTGATAGCCTGTGCTTCTTGGAAGCCCTTCGTGTACTTGACCAACGAGATCTCGCACAGCAGCCGTGGACTTGTGCATGAAGTCATCCCATTCATGGACCTCCTCACCGAACACGTCGACGAGTTCATCGCCTATGAAACGTTGCACCCGGCCGTCCGTGGCGCCGCCAAACGCGGCCGCGCCATCTTGGACAAATACTACACACTGACGGACACCACCATCGTGTACCGTATCGCGATGAGTACGTCTTTATTCACTACCTAAGCTACTGCATACTAATACATCTCTTAGTGCTTCACCCTCGCTACAAGACCCAGTACTTCAAGGACCAGTCCTGGCCTGAGGACTGGATCACCGAGGCGCGGGCGATCATCGAGAAGGAATGGACCAGCAACTACAAACCCAAGGACGCCCCTGCACCCGCTGACATCCCTGCAGTGCCAGCACCGTCAGCGTCTCGACCGGGCCCTGGTAGACGCAGTGCGGCTGCATCTGCTGCGTCCGCGGTATGTTCGCTTCGTATTGTGGATACTTGTTGCAGCAGTGTCTTACTCATTCTCTTTGTAGAGCACGCGCAAGCGCTTTGCGGCCATTGGTGGAGCTGCCAAGGCTGGATGCGTCGACACGCTGAAGAAGTACCTGGAGGAACCCCCGGCCGAGACCGTGACTGATCCCCTCAAGTACTGGGATCTGGTCCTCAAGTCGTCATCGGAGTCTAGCGGCGAGCATGCCCTTGCTCGGATGGCAATTGACTTCCTTTCCGCTCCAGGTATGTCGTCCATTCATCCTGTACATACTAACATGGAGGTATTCTGACGCCTCTTGATTCTTTCAGCCACATCAACGGACACCGAGCGTGCATTCTCACGCGGTCGCCTCACCGTCTCCCGCCTTCGTCATTCGCTCGCGGACGAATCTGTCCGCGCGAACACTGTTCTCGGTTCATGGGCTCGCATTGCGGACCTCCTTCCCGAGGCCGACCTTGTCGAGGTCATCCGTCAGCACAGTGCGGGTAAGAAGCGCACCGTCGACGTCGCTCAGCCTGTCCCGAACAGCGCTAAGGCTGGCGGTGATGTCATTGAACTCGACTAGATTCCCGGCTGCTTCTGTTGCTGTACTTAGTATAACCTTCTGTCCTGCTCGTCGCTTTTGTCCTGCTCATTGCTCCTGTCCTGCTCATTACTCCTGTCCTGAAGAATTGAACATATACTTGCTACTGTAGCTATGGTACTCATGAATGAATGAATGATGGCGCTCTTTTGAGGGTTTTTGACATAGTTTTTGTTGGATAACTGAGTTTATTTTATGGCTAAGTCCAGCTCCAGGTCACCCACAGCTCTACCTGCGGGTTCCGGGTCCAGATCTGCGGGTTCGGGTCAGTTTGCGGGTTCAATCCGTGCAGGTCTGGGTTGAGCATTTTGTGTATGAATTACCCGTGGGTTCAGATCCGGATAACCTGTGGGTGGATCCATGTTCAGCCTTAGGCTGGATGGTTTCCCGCCGTTGCGATTGGCTACACATGCCAGCCCATTCGCTGCCGATCCGATTCAGGTCGGGAGTAGTAAGGTCACTCGTCGACCGTGGACGCGGCGCGTCCGTAGTAGGGGCATGCGCAGGCTCGCCGTGTGGAGGGAGCACTCCTGGAGCAGAGTGCGTGGATCCGGCGCGCGATAATACGTGCGGGCCTTCCGCATTCCGGGGCTGAGCGTGTGGGGAGGAGGGGGGAGCTGCTTGCGGAGCTCCCGTCGGATTGGGCACGGTATTTCGTGCGGGGCCACCATTGGGAGATGGTGGTTGTCCCGCAGAACCAGTCGCGGGGCCGGGCGGTGCGTTGGCAGTGCTCGGACCCGCCGTTCGTGGAGAACCGGGTTGACTGACAGGTCGCCCATGGCGACCATTGTTCCCGGAAGGCTGGGTGGGGTCCATTTGGGGACGCTGTTGTAAGGCGTCCGATGTTCTGATGACGTGGTGACGTCAAGCAACTTGATGCTGTGAACGAAAGTTCGTTCGTCGCGGCTAAAGTAAAAAAGTGTAAGTGTACGCGAGTCCCACGACTCCCCGAATCCCGCAAGTACTCTGGACCGGGCTTGATTGCTCGGCGTACTCGCTGGATGGTGGGGGGTGGTAGAACTCTCCCCCACCAGGCGCCCGAGGCCCGAACCTTCGGGCGCCGTACGCTTACGTACGATACAGGACTTGTGGTATCTAATCTACGGGCGCCTAGATGCGCTAGTTCTCCGTGATTCCCGGAGAATGCCTTCTCCTACTGAAGTGGACGTTCCCGTCCAGGCACTAGGGAGTGCCGGCAGTAAGTAAGAACCGTCGGGTTCTTACATGCGCTGACTACGGTCCAGACGCAACTGCAGTCGCAGTTTTGGGCATACTTTGAGGAGCATGCACGCTCCAGGGAGGGGGAGAGCCGCGCCGAGCACACGCGGCAAGTGGAGGATTTGGAGCGACAGCTCCGAGCCGCTTTGGCAGAGGCCACCTCTCTCCGCGAACACGCTCGGGTCAACGCCGAGCTAGAAAGGGAGCTCAATGCCGCGCGAGCGGAAATGACGACAATTCGTCAGGACCGCGACCGATACCGGTCGGAACGAGAGCAAGCACGAGAGCAGCTCCGTGACGAGAATCGTCTTCGAGCTCGCACGAGCCAATCTCGCCCCAACCAAGCCCGGCGTGTCCCCGCGGTGCCTCCCGGTCACCCCGACTTTCCCGAGTCGCCGGAATGGGGGTATCCCGTGAGGATGTCGTGATCAGCGCGGGACGACAGTCCTCGGCGGCCATCCACCATGGCACCCCATATGACCGAGCCCGGTCCGTCGAGGGATCGGGATGAGCTCATGCCCATGACGGGGTCGTCTCCAATGTTGCGGGCAGCGGGCCCATCCAGAACTCAGAACAGGATGACAGGAGCGACGCCATCCGCGTCTATGCCAGAGGCGTCCGGGTCGTCGAGTCGGCACGCGGCCACGGGCTCAGGTCCCACTGTGGACTTTCAAGACTTCAAGGAGTTGTCCTCTGGTGAGGAGGAAGAGGACCTCTTCGACGAAAAGTATATCAAAAAGAAGGCAGCCAGGAAAGTGCGGCAGAACGCAGTCTACGGGACCCCGTTGGCCCCGCCTCCACGGCCCCCAAGCTATTCGAGCGACGGACGCTTCCCGCGTCCTCGAATCACGGGGTGGCCGTACCACATGCTCGCAGTCCCTGAGGACTCCAATCCTCGCGAGGCGGACCATTGGTACGATTTCGTACCCGTCACCACGGAGGACGCACAGCAGCTGCTGAGGGCTGCCGCCACCGATCTGGGTCAGGCGCGTGCCCGGATCCGACACTTGCTTCAGCAAGTTGAGCGGAATTCAGCGCTGCAGGGGGTCCAGGGCATCCGTGTTCTCGCAGATGCGTGGCGGAACCCGGACAAGGCCCCCTACCTGCCGACTATTCTGCACCCAGCGGCGTACACCACTCCAGGTATGGAGTTCGCGGATACCTCGCATCTGCCGCCCCCCACTGGACGCCGTCCAGGCATCCCTCTGAACGTCATGAAGACGACTCGCCCGGTGCAGGATCTCAACGGGCCTCGTCGGCAGCAGCCGCGCACCACCGACCCCCCGGAGGCTCACCGCGAATGGTGGAGGTCCCAGCTGCTGTTGTAACTCTGATGCATCAAACTCTGGATACGTTCCGAACGTGCGTTGCATCATAGTTAGGTTGTTAGGGTACTACTCTAACAGGCCCTGTTCTTCGCTTATTTGGGGTCTGAGTTTGAATCTACCTCCCTAATAAGGCAGGAAAGCGCAGATATGGCTGCAGGGCTGTTATCAACTGTAGATAACAGGCATTTTCTTATCTCATTGGCCTAATCAGGCAGGTACCTTAATCTCTTATCTCTATGGCGCTTTTTTGATCACTGCAGGCTTATCTCCCTGGCCAGATCAGGCATGTACTGTAATCTCTTATCTCTAGGGCGCTTTTTTGATCGCCACCTGTCCCAATTGGGTAGGCAGGTTAGATGGCAGGTAGGGGCACCAGGAGGGGTTGCTCCCTGGTGGCCTCTATAGCTCAGTTTTTATCTAATCAGCCTGCTTGTTTTTGTATTAGATAGATAGTGATAGGGAGAGTTGAAAGGGCCATTCCATAGATGAC